TCTCAGTTGATTTAACTCCATCTAATGTTGTGGTAACTTTAGTGGCCACTGTCAGGTCTTTCTTTCTGTCTCCAGAACAAAAAAAAAAAAAAAAACATTAATAAAAATTTAAAAAAGAAAATAAAAATAATGAAGTGACATAATTTTAACTACTTTAAATGCTCACTCGGAATTATATTTGTCCATTATATAACATGAATTCAAATATTAAAAACGCTATTTAGTTTACTGTTTCATTTAGTCATTTAAAGAAAGAAATGCCTCCAAGCCTTCTCTCTTCCAACACTGGTGTGGTCAAATGGCGCCACCATGTGGTAGCAGAGGTGTTATCAGGTTTTGAAGGGCCATTGCTTTTATTTCTTTTTTATCTTTTTAGTTTCAAATAGTTGTACAGCACTTTGTTTGAAAGTGCTTTATAAATAAAGTTATTATTATTATTATTATTATTATTATTATTATCATCATCATTTCCTTCAACAAGACTGACAATGATTTCAAATTGGATTTGTCTCTCTGCAAATACGTGCAGTCATTAACAGTATTTCAACCAATGCATATGTGTAAAAAGAGATATAATTGATACAATTTGGGAGTATAAAATTTCGTGATAGAAAAAGCTGTTGTTAGGTGTGATTTTGCCAGTGGAAGGCTGACAAGATCTAATAGGTCAAAGTTCACAGTGTTGATGATGTGACGGAGTTATTACGTCCTTTTCCATGAAGGAGATGCTCTTTCATTCAATTTAAAGACATTTATCTTAAAATATAACAGCTTGAATTTCATAAATATGACTTATGCGAAAGCAGCTGTATAGGAAAGTTAGCACATTCATCTTTCCTATGGTGGCGACATGAGGTTGATGTCCCTGCCCAGTTTTAGAATCCATTTCTCTCTGAGGCGAAAGTATAGATAGAAACCAGGGGGTGGCAGGCTACACACATGGGCTCACTTCATGCCTAAATGACTAACAAAAAACCACGAAACACACCTACATATTAAAAGCTACAAAGCTGGCTGTAATTCAGCGTGGCTGGGTGGTTGTCAGTAGAACACCATCTGTACAAATGGTAAAAAAAATGCTAACCATCTTTCTTACTGATGTGTTTCATAAGCTGGCAGTACGACTATGTGGAAAAGGCAAACTCAAATGATTCATCTTGATTCACTCATTGAGGAGGATGTGGGAATTATTGAAGGTGGGCTGATCACTTTGAGGTATATAACTGTTCGTGCTGTTTGAGGTCTGTAACTTTAAAAGCCATTTAAACAAAAATAATAATCCTGTTAGGATTACACCATCCGTTGAAAACATTACAACTTACAAATGGACCCTTATGCAAGGATGCATTTATAAGTGCAACTTTAAATGTAAATACAATAAAGTAATAGTAAAAACAATAGAAAAAAGGACAGTCTATCTCTCCATTAATCAGTGGTTAGCGATTTAAATGCAGTAAATGAAGACTAGGGGCAATGCTCACTTCTTCAAAGAAGAAACAGGTTACACTTTATGGATACACTCACCTGTTGCTCATTTAGACTGTCTTTCTACCTGTGGAACAACTGCAGAGTTACTTCACTTGTGCAGAAATGATCAAGGACAAAACTGGCAGGAGGAAGTCTCTTTTTGGATCTACAATATTATCTGTAAATTTAAGCTAATGTCAATTTTATCCCATGGTTATCTGAACAAAATGACAATGAACAACCCGTGCTAATGCAGTTGCTGCTAGCTAAAATACAAGACTGTAATATGGGTGCCATACCGAGGGCAACTGTAACGGCTACAATCACAGGCACCTTGTTTGCTTGAATGATGACACAGACATATTTCACTCTTAAAATGAAAATACATGCTTCTTTGTATAAATGCTGACTTTTATATGTGTTAAAACAATATTATCCTACATATTAGTTAAGCCACAGCTGCCCTAAATTAAAAGTATTGGTAATTACCAAAATATTTTTGCTATGTTTCTGTAATGGTTAATTCACATGCATGTACTATTGTTAAACCAATTATTGTTGTTATCCATGAATTTTTTAAATTTTCTGTTTAGAAAAAAACAGCAGAAACAGCAGCAAATTATTGATTTTTGATTAAAACGCCATGATACAGTTATTTACTTGCATTCGTGAACAGAAATAATTAATTTTATTTCTAGTACTTCATTTATTTTGGTCTCCTCAAAGAAGTCCCAATGTGCCGGCTGAAATTTGGGTATAAAAACATGAATTCAGTCCAGTGAATTCCATGATTTCTAGTTTTAAACAAGTTTTTGACATATTTCTAAAATACATTTTTTCTTGTTTTCATGAGAGGTAGTCTAATAGACAAATAAACAAAAACAAACAAATATACACAGTATGCGTTTTTAAATAAACATATAAAATGCTCTTCACTTTTTTTTGTGTTATTTTGCAAAGCTCTGTTCTGTCATTTGGTCGTATATTACATGAGTAATAATATTTGAGTAAAATGTACTTTTTATTTACATCAGAAAATAATATCTAATTATCACTGGAACAATGGCCAGGTCTCTTGGAAAAATAGAAAGAATATTTTTGCCTTGAATATACAACCTAAAGTACCCAACATCTAAACAAATCTGAAAGTGCATAGGCCATTATTTTGAAGATTTCTTCAGTTTGAGACACAGTGGGTTAGCATGATGTATTTTTTAGTGATACAACTTCCCGCATCTACTCTTACAATTGCCTCCAAAATGGGCAACTGTAACAATCTGACTTTTTGTACGATAGTCTTCCTGGTCCTTATTAGTAAAAAGATATTAACAGTACCATGGTGAACATTTTTGTTTCTCAAAAAGATGATTAGCATTTTAAGTAGTCAGTAAATTATGAAGGTACATTTTAAAACAACAAAAAAAAAACCTCTCTTAGTAAAATGTCAAACCAAATTAAATTTAATAACCTCGTGTTGCAGTGTTGGTTCTACTGACATCTCTATTTGAGCCAACTAAGAGCTGCCGTTTTCTTGTTATTTCCACAAAGTGGTAACAAAGTGACAGCATTAGCTAAGTGGCTGAGTATGTTCACTGAAATATTTTTGTTAGCATTGATAAACTTGCTAGCTTTAGCTCGTCTGTAGCTTTTAACCACTGAGACGGACAGTATGGTAGTTTCTTCATTTTATTTCTCATATTTTGCTGAAAACACTTAAACAGCCGTCCGTATACTGTGGCTTAGAACAAACTCACCTCTGTGGGATATTATGCTACGTGCACCTCGGCCACTTCCTCCTACGTTCCCACCTCCGTTCTCTACCTGTGCGAACTGGGCGTGTTTTACTCCCAAAGGAGCCTCATTCTCGGGGTCAGTCCACTTCCCAAGAAAATATCCAGGAATTGCTCACTGGCAGGAAACTTTAATTTAAGGTAAGAATAGGTTTCTTATTCTCGGTTGGGAAATTTGTATATACTTGATAGGAAGAGACGTTACCGTTATTTTACTACGGAATTTGATCTCTGACGATGAAAAAAAAAAATCACAACACATGATCGCGATGACCCTGTTGGGATTTATCCGTAGGCATATATAGGGCTCCCAAAACTGTTCTGGGAATCCTGAATTCTTGGAAAGTTTCTGTTTATGAAAGTTTCTAAAGAAAGTTTGCTATCATTTTTCATAATTTTGAATGATTTAAGGAGTGCTTCTGAGCTTAGTGACTACTTACAGTGAATAAGGAATCGCTGAGGCCTTTTTTTACGTGGTGTGGGCGTCCTGTATAAGGAGTTCCAATATGAGATCTCATTAAATCGTATATTTTTGCATGAATATATTTGCTTTTCTCTTATTAAGGCTTTTGCATTAAAACAAATTTGCTGTCTCCATCAGTTTTTTTGCAGCTAGTGTAATACTATGCCAGTGAATTCATCATACTCCGACACATCTCAACAAGCTTTCCCTCAGCAGGCATGCAAGCTCCAACTTTTTACTGCACCCTACAGCAGCACATAGTGCAGGAAGGGAGCAGCACAAAGAAAGCAGAGTGTGTGTATATAAAAAAAAATCATCATTGCGACAACACAGTATCAAAAAGTCACTGATATGCAGTATTGCGGTGAATAGTTCAGATTAGTTTGTGTCAGAGTTTTCATGTCTTTATTTCCCACATTTCAGAGCTCAGATGTGATATAAATGTAGGCTGGTGCAGTGTGTGGAGATTGTTGTTTTGTATGATCTCTCCTGCACCAGATTCGTGTCCCTGCTCGTCACACATTCCACAGCTGTGCTGCTCCTCCTCCCCCTTTCCTTTCTTATCTGCCTTATGTCTTTTATCTATCACTCAACCTTATTAACATCAACCAATCAATCTCCCAGATGTGTGCTGTTATACTAGGTTGTGTCGCGTTTGTTAGCGCATGCTGCGTGCTCTGCAGTCTGATCTGTTTTCCTTCCGCCCGTCGGTGTGTTCGCTGGTGTCTTATTTATAAATGGTATTGAGTAGATCGGGGGCTGCAGTATCATTGCAGAGACACTGCAGCAGAAGCAGAGTTCGAATCTACTCCATACGCGGCCACTCAGGGACAGAAACAGTAAGGGATGTGTGGTGGTGAAATCTTTGCCAAGTAAATCAGGATGTTGAGAAACACTCAATCCTCTGGCTCAATCCCAGATATTTCCTTATTATCCGAACAAACGGGATCAGCAAAATAATCCACATATTTTAGAGTAATTCCCCTCACTAAGTGCTTAATTAGAGATAGTAGTTTCCTTCTAAGATCCCCTGTGCTGTGCCCCTGTGGTCGCGTTCACTAAACCTGTGAGCACCCCCACCTTTTTTTTAATAATCTCTTCATTGTCTTTTTAGAACAGGACCATGGTTACACCTGCAAAATATGGAGACACATCGTGGCAGCTATCTGTGCAGGTGGATCAAAAGGAAGGTGACGAGTCCATGAAATTTAAGATGAGGGTGATGGGAGACTTGCACATCGGTGGCCTCATGCTTAAGCTGGTGGAGAAAATCAGTAAGTGTGCTTAGCACGGATGTGTTTCTGCATAGTGGTTGGAAGGAATTTTAAAAGTGTGTAACTACAAAGGCTAACAAAGAACCTCAACCTACATGTGGTGCTACAACAGCTCTGTTAGCCAAGCCACACCCTTGTTTGAGCTGCATTCTTCTACACTACGGTGCCATTGTGTTGTCACAGTGCGCCAACTTGTGTAGCCCCAGGGGCCAAAGTTCAGCCAGTCTCTGATCTGATATCAATTTACGCTCCTCTATAAACACAGAGGAGCTAATGTGGCTAACTTGAAGGCAACTTTATGGAGGTGATTCAAAGAGCATGGGACATAATAAATGACTAAGCGGCTTGTCATCAACAGATGGATTTCAGCCCAGCACCATAAGATGATGTCAGGTAGACTCATTAAACCACACCACCTACACAACCGTGGGAGCGGAAAATATTTGTGACCCTAGCAGATGTAGTTGTTGGTGAAGTATGTTACCTACGGAGCCAGAACCTCCCCCTGAAGGCTCTTTAAACCCGACATGTAAATTAGTGCAATAACTTGATGTGTGAACTACCCCTTAAACCTGACATGTGATAATAATATGCGGGTGATAAAATGTCTTACTTAATACGTCTGCCTTGCAGAGGCTCCTCAGGATTGGTCGGACCATGCTTTGTGGTGGGAACAGAGGAAATGCTGGCTGCTCAAGACCCACTGGACCTTGGACAAGTATGGGATCCAGGTAAGATGAATTCTTACACCCAAAGGAATGTGGAATTTCCCTTAAAATATCCAATGGGAAGGTGTTCTTCAGTCAAATCTGGCTAAATAAATTGCGTGTGTTCTTGCAGCTCTTAAAGATGTAGAGAGGTTTTATATAACATGTTGGAAGCTATTAAATAAAATTATATCCTCCCACTCTTATTGACCTATTCACTGTAGCCAAAGCCATATAGGTACATAATAATGTTTCATATCTTATCCAGTCAAGTAATGTTTAAGCCCAAGTACAAACCCTGATTCCAGTAATGGTGTAAAAAATGTGGACAAAAACACCAAAGTATAATTTAATATTTATTTTAAATCTCCATTAGTTCTACTGCAATGGCAGACATTTTTTACTACATGCACACCAACATGATATTGATAATACTGGGTTTCCAACACAAAGTAAATATACAGGATATACACTGGCTTGACACCTGAAGTGTCATGGCTACTGGACGGACTTGCGCGCAGACAGTTCTTTCTTTGAGAACAAAAGGGGATTATTTATTTACAACAGGGATCACCTCAGTGCTATATATATGTACAGTGAGTTGGGAGGGGAGCCCTGGACCCCACACACGCTTCCTCTTCCACACAGTCACCGCCACAGCTCCTCCACACACACGTTGTCACACCCGGGCAGGTCCCGTGATTTGGTCCAGAAGAGAGATATCCACACACAGAATTCAATGTTAGTTCCACAGCAAAATACACACAGGGGATTCTTTTGATAATGCCGAGAGCACGAACTCAGGAGGTTCACCGTTCCAGCGGTGAGCTGTTCTGTGCCACTGCCTTAAATAGCAGCTGGGGAAATCAGCCAGATCAGCAGCAGGTGGAGACAATCACACAGGTGCGTGGGCCAAGAGCGAGAGCCCGTAACGAGCTCCACCCAGGCAGAAAGGAGGAGGAGAGACAAAGAAAACAAAAACAAAACACAACAACACCTGTAGCCAGCGTGAGCCAGCCAGAGAGACACGGGGACCGTGACATGAAGCTAATATAAATACAATTCATTTTGCTACACAGGCTGATGCTGAGCTGCGCTACACACCCCAGCATAAACCCCTGCTACTGCAGCTTCCCAATATGAAAACCATCCAAATGACCGTCAGCTTCTCCAATGTGGTCTTCAAGACGGTGACAGACATCTGCAGAATACTCAGTAAGCGTCTGTTTCTTCCGATTGCTCTCTCCCGCACTATTATAGCTCTGATTTTGAATGCCTCATTCACTGTTCTAAGTTCAAGGTTCAAGTTCCTTCCCATATTCTTCCTGTCTGCTCCTGCTTTGCACCATTTCAGACATTAGAAGACCAGAAGAACTGTCACTGCTGAAGCCTCCAGATGATGCCTCCAAAAAGAAGAAGAAGAAAGATAAGGACTCAGAGCAGGAGGAGATTTGGGACATAGATTTACTCAGTGGGGGACCAAGTGGAACAGGTAAAGAAAAAGATGTGCAATAGGAATAGATGGTCTTTCATGTGCCTTGAAAGACTCTCTAAGCCTATCTAAGGGAATTGGTGCTGTTTACAACGATATGTGCATCTGATTCGTTACTTTCTGTGCGCTGCATTTTGTATAAAGTTCATTTAATCTAAAGAAAAAAAGGTATATAAACATACATATTTTCAAGATATATGAATGGAGCATCCCCACCTTAGTTTAAAGCTTTGCACGGTATGTAGTGCATCTGTGATCTGAAAGGGCACATTTCTCAACAGTGAGATCTGACAGAATTGTTCAGTATGCTGCCGTGTTCTCCAGGAACACCCACTCTCGCACTCTTCCTCTGAGTCCAAGTTCATACTCTGCACCATTTCCAAGTTATATTCTAACTTTGGCTTCTTGGAATTTGGATTTTAAATGCAGTACCTTTATATTTAGTATAAATATGAAGATATGTTGAATCTTAGCTAATCATTAGCCCTTTATTTCCCTCAAACTAGGCCCCATGTATAGTAAGACCATGAAAGCAACCTATGACCCAGAGAATGGGATGCCAATGTCTGCCACCAGCGTTTGGTTTGGAGAAAATCCTCTTGCAGAATCTCAGACAAACTTGCCACCTGCCGAGCTGGCCAAGATGTATCAGCCGTTGTCACTGGTGGACAAAGCAGTCAACAATGCAGGGTAGAAACCGACCGGATTTCCTATCTCAAGCTGATTATTATACATTGAGAGATATTTCTTTCCCTAGATAAACATTTGATTTCGTTGTTGTTATAATAAACAGGTGGTTGGACTCATCCCGTTCGCTTATGGAGCAAGACATTCAAGACTATGACAAGCTACTACTGCGCTTCAAGTACAATGTCTTCTTTGACATCAATCCTAAGGTAAGAGATCCAAGGTGAACACAAAAAAAAGGAAAATGTTGAACTAAAACCGCATGTTTCTGTGTTTTAGTATGATGGCGTCAGGATAACCCAGCTATATGAGCAGGCCCGCTGGTCTATCCTGTTGGAAGAGATAGACTGCACTGAAGAGGAAATGCTGATGTTTGCATCTTTACAGGTGAGAAAAATTTGCCATTGCAGAAAGCAAGCAAATGATTTTTTTTTACAGTTGAAGTTGTTTAAATGTGATGCAATCATTATTGTTTGCTTGCATATACTACGCGTGGAAGATTATTAAATGTAACCCTTGTTACCCTTCGCAAGAGGATGGTTTGGTTGATGAGTGTCAGGGTTAATGAGAAAACTGTTGCGTGGCCCAATAAAATAACTTTAATAACAAGAAGCGCTTGGAGAGCACAAACCTCCTCCAACTCAGCTCACTATCTATCCGATATTTCTTTTTAGGGGAATAGTTTTATATTTAGTATATTTACATTTTGTTTCTTTGTTCTTTTTAAATGTACTTTTAGAGCTTTGCAGCCAAACCAAGAGCCACGTGCAGGCTTTTGTTATTTGCTCTGCTGAAATCCATTTTAGTATACTTGACAGTTTTTGCATATAATTATTTTTTATTTATGTGGATATAGTAGGTGTGTAATATTAATTTCACTGTTTAAATGTTAAGTAATAAATATTATTTTTTACCTCCAAAAAATAAAAAATGTTTACATGTATTCAACTTTTTATGTATTTAAATGGTTATAACCTGTTACTATAACAAAGTTATAATAAATAATGAGATATTTAGAATATATGTCATTCATACTCACAGGATCAGTAGGAAACATAGTTTTAAATAGCTCAGTATAGCACTATTATCACACTTTCTGATCAATGTATTGATTATGAAGGAGAGGACAATAGTTTTAATCATGTCACATTGTGTTCATTTTTATATGGCACTTTCTATATGCTGATAATAAGTTATAAGGCTTTTTGTCAATTTTCAATTAAGAGTTTTAATGGCTTGTTAACATGACCTCACTCTACACACATGCTAGGTTTTACCAGGATTCATTCAAAATGTTTGTTGTGTTGACAGACAGAATGCCATGCCAACTGTCCCAAAAACACAACTTTCTTTGCAGAAGTAATAATGAACTATATTTCAAATTTCAAGATGCTTCACATAACAAATTACTCCTTATTCATTTGACTGGCTGTTTTTGGATAAATGCTCAGATTTGGATCCTGAGGACTATAAAGCTATAGATTGTATGTCATTATACATTACACTAGTATGCCTTGTTTTATGAGAAGTGTAAACTTTCCTTTGGTAAAGTTTTCAAATGAAGATCACGACATGCAATTCTTCAGGGCCACAGTAATGCAGCTTTTTTAGTCTTTGATACAGTTTGTGTTTCTTAACGCTCATAGTACAGCAGAGTGAGGTGGGTGCCTAAATCCATCTGAGGACATGTCAGGACATGAGGAAAATCCCAGTGGAAGAGGAGGAAAGGAGGGGGAGGCAGGGAAACGAGTCATACAGTTAAAGACAGAGTAGCAGAAAAGCTAGTACGTTAATAATTAGAATGCCCCAACAGACACAATAGGAAGAAGCTGATTATTACCTGGTGTTTTAGCTGCAACATGATGAGTGTCCTGATTTCATCCCATCTCTGGTGACTTCAGCTATTATTTTGCAACGACTGGGACAGTGATTCAGAGATCAGAGATTCAAAGGGAATGCTGCACTCACCTACACATTGGTGCAAAGGCTGGCACGCTGGGCTGTGCTCAAACCTCCCGCTGACTCATGCCAGCCTTGCATAACCTCCTAAGTCATGTCGGAGAACTTCATTACCACTTGTAGTTGTTAAGCC